TGGACCTCTGGTGTCTAAGCAGAACTGAGCCTGATTTTGCACTTTCCGCTTTAGTAAATAAACCCCTGTGTGACAGACTGTCAGTGACTCACACACAGGGGGTGTTGACATTGTGCCTCCTGACTTTTTTTACTGCACCCCCAGATCAAATAAGCTAGATCCAGGCCCTGTCTGGCACCATAGACATTAAACTGAAAGTGGGAGGCTATGGGCAGTGAGCTAGGCTCTATTGCATGCATTTCACAGTGCTTTCAGCCAAGTATTGAGCAAGAAATGTAGGCAGTTTACAGTAAAAGGAGTGAACAGGAAGGAATTCAATAGCAATATACACTTTTATGGTGCAATGACCAGGCAATGAGTAGGTAGCTCGCACAGGATCAGGGGCAGACTGAAAACTCAAGTGGCCCCCGGGCAATAGGGGATCATAGGGCCCCTGTGTCCTTGCCCACACTCAAAGCACACCCAAAAAAGCCTATAAAAAGGTACCAAGGGCATTTCATTGGGCCCCCTACTGACCCTGGGCCCTTGGGCAGTGCCCGAGTGCTCGAATGGTCAGTCCACCTCTGCACAGGATACTACAAAGCTCAAATCATGAAAAGTGGTGATACTATCCTGAATATGCAGTAAGCCCTGGTGCACACTGGTGCGACTTCAGGTGCGACATGTGATTTGGAAATCGCACCTGAAGTCGCATCTAACGTATTTCTATAGCACTGTCTTAATCAGTGGATTTTAGGTAGTGAGATTTCAAAAATAGTTCCTGCTCTACTTTTTTCCATTGCGACTCACATTGAAATCGGAGGAACAAATCACTCTGAGCTGTGGCTTTAAAATCACGTTACTTCAAGTGAAATAGCGCGATTTCAAAATTGCATTCAGTGTGAACCAGGGCTTACACAGATATGTATAAATCACAAGAATGGCTATACCGAAGTATACAAAAAAATTAGTGGGTTAAATAATTCACATTCAAAGGTATTTTAAGCCCCCTGACAAAACTTTGTTTTATTGTTAGACAGCATGAAAATGAAAGGATTTTTACTTCCTCGTGCACATCCATTAGGGACATTTCCCATCAATTCCTGTTCTTTAAACTCAAAAGGACCTACCTACTAAGAGGTATTCATACAGAAAATTATTATAGATAGTTTGCCCACCTCCACAGACTTTCAACCCTGATTCCTAACATTTCAGATGATGGCCATCAGACTGTCAATTCAGTTATCCAGACTGGATTATGTAGGTGATACTTCCACTAGCTGCTTGAAAAAAAAACACTGCCCACAGGCCTGGTTGCCCAATAACAACCAGTGTAGTACTTCTTAATGGTCTAAGGAATACTATGTAGATATCATCTGTCCCTTCTGCCAAGTCAATTTTAGGTTCTAAACAAAACAATGACCAACAAAACTACTTTGATGTTCACACACTCACAGAAAAAGGCTCCCATCAAAGCATAAAGACAACCTTCTGAAAAAGTCTATAATAACTTCATAATAGTAACATTAAAACATTTATATATAACACATTGTTTCCTTAGTGTTTATATTCATAAATACAAAAAATAAGCGAATGAAACAGCATGTAACTTTGAAAGAATTGAGGAATTATCAAAATGGCAAGCATAAATGTATGAATTATTAATGCCTGTTTTTAAAAACACAGTTATGGAATTAAATTAGCTGTTCCTGGCCAGAAAAATGCATTAATAAACCATGGAATGTCACTGGAAAAAATAACTATTACTGTTGTGTTGGTGTACTGCCTGGTGATGTTTTTATAGATTGTGAATATTTTAAAGATAAAAACGTATAAACTTATCTTATCATGTTAACTTTCTAGCCAAGCTCAACTTTTAAATGATGTTTAGGATTTTGAGAGGTTATTTTTAAATGTCTCATTTGAGCCAATGTCAATGCCTTGGGTAAGAGTTTATGTGGAATGCCTGGGTTATGAGGTGTATTAACCTCTCATATTACCAAGTGTCTGTTATGTGATAGCTAAACGTTTTACCCAAACATAACTATATGGTGTTTTAAACTTTTTTATTTTATGCAATTTAGTTTGCTAACCATAACCACATATTTTTGTCTCATGTAAGTAATACAATAAAGTCAATGCAAAATATTTATCATAGTATCATCCTCATTATGTACCTTTTTGCAAGCTGTAAGAGCTTGTTTAAAAACAAATGTGTGCAAAATACAAATGCTGCTTTGGTTTTCAATGTTAATTTAACTTGTGTAAAGCTATCATTGTACTAATACAATTGCAAGTGTACAGATATCCAAAACAATAAATATGCTGCGTTATTAAGACATTAGGATAATGTAAATTGACTATTTGTCTAATACAACTGATTGTCATTTTGCAGTTATATTATGCCTCCCCCAAAACACATGAATCCCAATATCATTCAACAGAATGTTGTACATTCATGATCTTTAAGAAGCCAGAATTGGTTATGGGACCCAACTTGTGGTCCACGTTTGTTGGTTAACCAACCTCAAAATATACCACAGTGGAAGCAGTGGAAAGATGATTGTCACGATATGAGTTCTCTGCCAGCCCAGTTATTAATCCCCAGGTATTTATTCCTTGTTCCTAATCCCTCCTGGCCATAGGAAGAGCCTACTCCAATTAGTATTCACTCCTGTGTGCCAAAGGCCCCTAGCTGTAATTAGGGCTCCCCTTCCACAAAAGATCCTAAATTCAATTAGTGTATACATCCCTAATTAGTGCCTTACTTTTGTATTAATGTATTTTCCCCACTGTTACACTGTTTACAGCTGCAGCTTAAATTATTGTGTCCATCCTGTTCAACCAGTTGTTTGCCTAATTCTAATATCCTCCCCACTAATTAGTGCCTTACTTTTGTATTAATGTATTTCCCCCACTTTTACACTGTTTACAGCTGCAAATCCAATTATCCTGTTTTAGTGTCCAGCCGGTCCAACCAGTCTTTTCCGTTTACAGCTACAAATTAAATTACTGTAGTTCCATTCCTGTCCATTCTCTTCATTGTCACCTGCTAATGACTCCCCCCCCCCCACCTCTCATCCTGCTCAGGGGGTTTAAGAGGCCAGTACTGGTCTCTCCTGTGGAGCCATTCTGTTAGGCAACCACTGAGGGGTCCACCTGGACTCCAGTGGCCCCCCGGCTCTGCCTGATCCCCATTGGAGGAAGAAGGACCTCAGAAGCTACATCAGCCCTGCCTGAAACGTTATCAGCTTTGCCAGAGACTACCACATCAGCTCTGCCTGAGACCACCGCATCAGCTTTGCGTGAGTGTATGCTTCCCTTTTGCTATCTGACTGCTTATGAACTGCCTCTTGGATTACAGATTGCTGTAGAGACTTTAACTTTGCCCACCGGGGCTGGATTACAAGTATTTTGGACCCTCTCTCCCTGCACTACTCCCCATTGAGTGACTGTTGTCTGTTTTAATAAAGCTTTAAGTGTTTGCCATCTGCCTTTTGTGTTCTGTCCCACTTACCCTCCGTCTCAATGATTATTGTGGATGCTCTCAGCACTGACCTCTGAGTACTGACCTATAACTGGAATATTTGAGACACAACCCCCATGTGCTTTATATTTTGGCCGGTGTATAACTACTCACAAGCAAGTCCTGTTTAAAGTTTATGCAAAGCAAAAACTTTTTTTTTTTAATTTTGGATAGAGTGGGGAAGGATTAGAATCAGTAAAAAAAAAGAAGAGTTTTGGCTTGATATAATCTTTACAGCCCAACTCAAGATGACACTAGCCCCCCTCCCAGCCCACTTACACCCTTCCATAGATCTGATCACAGGATTATTAAACAAAAAAAAACTGTCTCTACCCTATTTTCACTTACCTGAACCCATGGTTACATGATCATCCAGCATTGAGTCCTTCTATTCACTATTTACTTCCTAGAGGGGTCCTTCTTGTGTGATGTGGACAATACCCATTGGATGTCCAGTGGGGGGGGTGTAATGTTATCATACTGATGAGAGATGACATCAAACCCATTTAAGGGAAGGGGAATTGCTGGTGAGGCTTACAAGAGCACAGGATTAGCAGTCCCTGAAGAAGGAAACACCCTTATTGAGGGACCCAGATAGGGAGACTCAGGCAAGTATAACTGACTTTACCAGGTGAGAAAATCTTTACTGTGGGAAGGATGTGTTGGAGGGCGGTGGGAGGGAGGGAAAGGCAAAACATTTATTTTTGGGTGGAGATGAGCTTTAAATACACATAAACGTGTGCCAAAAATGTCCAACCCTTCCCTATGGTAGCAGCCATTGTTAGACCTGCAGTAGAAGAAGCACAACAAAATACTATTGGAACCATGCGTTAACTACAGTCTCTTAAGCTGTCAGGCCCTCTACTAACAAATAAGTGGGTCATTTAGGCAGCTTGAAATTACTATGCCACATGGAGACACTACAAATTAGTAAAAGAAAACTGAGGCTTAGGTGTCAATATCTGTAAACTCCAAAATACCATATAACACACTTCTTGTTTTGCCCCAGTTGTTTTCAAAAGGATGCACACTGATCTGCAGGTAAAGTGAATGTAAACCAAATTACAAAAATTTCATATAAGCTTTAACATGTTAATGTCATTTCCAAAGTAATTTTTCAATAATTTTAAATCTGCAGTTTTCATTGACCACTTGAGTCATTGTGACTTTTTTCCCTATAGCACCCTTGAATCCCAGAGCTTTTTTTTTCTGATGATGTCTCAGTTTCACACCATGTATCTTTTAGGTTTTGTAGTCTACTCTTAAAGTGGTAGTAAAGTATATTTTCATGTTTTACCTACAGGTACATCTTTAACCACTAGCCTACCGGGCACTTATACCCCCTTCCTGCCCAGGCCAATTTCCAGCTTTCAGCGCTGTCACACTTTGAATGACAATTGCGCGGTCATGCAACATTGTACCCATATGAAATTTTTATCATTTTTTTGAGACAGATAGAGCTTTCTTTTGGTGGTATTTAATCACCTCTGGGATTTTTTTTTTTCTTAAACAAACCAAAAACCACTGAAAATTTTGAAAAAAAAAACATTTTTCTTAGTTTTTGTTATACAATTTTGTAAATAAGTGATTTTTCTCCTTCACTGATGTGCGCTAATGAGGCTGCAGTGATGGGCACTGATAGGCTGCACTGATGGACACTGATAGGTGGCACTGATGGGCACTGATGAGGAGGCACTGGTAGGTTGCACTGATGTGCATTGACAGGCATCACTGATGGGCACTGAAAGGCAGCACTGATACATGACACTGATAGGCAGCACTGATAGGCGGCACTGACTGGCACTGTTAGGCGGCACTGACTGGCACTGATAGGCGGCACTGACTGGCACTGATAGGCGACACTGTCTGGCACTGATAGGTGGCACTGATTGGCAGCACTGATAGGTGGCACTGATTGGCATTGATAGGTGGCACTGACTGGCACTGATGGGTGACATTGAAAGGCAGCTCAGATGGGCACTGATATGTGGCATTGATGTGCACTGGTATGCACTGATATGTGGCATTGATGTGGCACTGATGGGCACTGGCACGTGGCACTGATGGGCACTGGCACGTGGCACTGATGGGCACTGACTGCTGGCACTTCTGGGACCACACTGATCATCAGGGCACACTGATCATCAGTGCCCTGATGATCAGTGTACATATCCCCTCCGTGGAAAGCCGATTGCCGGCTCTCCTCTCCTCTCGAGCTGTCAGCGTGACAGCTCGAGAGGAGAGAAATGCCGATAACCGGCATTTCCGTGTTTACATGTGATCAGCTGTGATTGGACACAGCTGATCACATGACCGAGCCGACATCTTCGGCTCTTTCTGTGATCCGCTGTGTCCGAGGATCATATGACGTCCTCCCAGAACGAGAGAACCACCTTGCGCCCATCATTGTACTAAAGGGCGGGCGGAAGGTGGTTAATAAGGCTTACCTGTAGGTACTGTAAATATCTCCAAAACATGCACTGTTTAGGAGATATTTACTTTAGGAGGGCAGGTGATGTCACCGGCAATGTGCAGTGCACTCTCAATGTATAGCATGCTGTCCATTGAGAGAGCTGTGCCGTGGCCAAGACTCCTGCGCATGCGCAGGAATGACATCACTGCGGCTCAACCAGTCAAACGGCCGCAGCTCAAGAACCCAAAAAGAAGACCAGGTGAATATGGAAGCCCCAGGAAGCCATGACAGTGCTCCACTGGAGGGCTTTGTTTTCAGGTAAGTCTTTCATAATGTGCTAGTATGCGATGCATACTAGCACATTATGCTCTTAAACTTGCAGGGAGATTTTTTTGTGGTTTGCTACCGCTTTAAAGTGTCATTAAACCCACATTAAACTACCAATAAATATATGTTTACCCTTTGCTCTTATACTATACTGTATAGGACCACCTGCGTGTGGCTCTAGTTGCATCACCTGTCTTTGTTTCAGTTTATCACTGCCATTCTTTTTTTTTCAATAAAAGAACATTGAAAAACTACCAATAAATACTGTATTACATGCTGTCCATATTTAGTCACTACGGGAATAATTTTTTGAATTTTGCAAAAAACCTGGTTGATCCTGCTGTTCGTTATCTCTCCCTCCGATCCATGTTCCCACTGCAGTTGAAGATTCTGCAGAGCAGCGTTGGCAGTTGATGCACATGCTCAATTTCATGTGTATTTCTACTTTGAGCATTTACTCCTTTTCACATCTGAGCAGCCCATATGACTATAGAGCACACACGTGGGCATATACACAGTGGTAAATGACAGCCCACTCCCTCCCTCCCCTGCATGCCCAGAATAACAGGGCGGTGAAGCCTCCATCAATCGAGATTTAATATCCCACCCATTGGATAATGGGATATTACATCATAATTGATAGAGGCTTGACCTCCCTGTTATTCTAAAATACAGGGGAGTGACACAGCCTGTGACTGACATAAAATCTGCCCACACCATGTTACTGCCAAAAAACAATAAATATTTGATTTCAAATATATATTTGTATGACAATTTAAAACAGTTTATTAATAATCAATATTTATTTTTACTCTTTATGCCAGAGGCTGTTTTTTTTTATTTTGAACAGCAGCAGAGGACTGGAAGCTCCTCCTACCCACTGTTTCCCTGCAGACAGGCTGGGACAGAGATGGGTCATGCGACAGCTCTATATCAATTAGCAGGGGCGGACTGACAACTCATGGGGCCCCCGGGCAATAGGGGATCATGGGGCCCCTGTGTCCTCGCCCACACTCAAACCACACCCACAAAAGCCTATGAAAGGTAACAGGGACATCTCATGGGGCCCCCTACTGACCCCAGGCCCTTGGGCAGTGCCCCAGTACCCGAATGGTCAGTCTACCCCTTTCAATTAGTAAAAATGGTACTTAGATTTTTTTTTTTTATTAAAATAATTACAGTGCCTTCATCCATATGAAAGAGAAGGGATGAAGTAAATTAAACCGTGTATGTTTAGTATCACTTTAAATCCATAATATATCATACTTTTTTTTTTCTTCGGACAGAGAGGGCTTTAGGTCTCATGCACACAGAACATTTTGCAAACTTTCCTAGCCACTTGCCCCCCAGAAGATTTTACCCCCTTCATGACCAGGCCAATTTTTGCTATTTGGCACTACGTTACTTTAACTGACAATTGCGCGGTCATGCAAAACTGTACCAAAATGAAATTTGTATAATTTTTTCACACAAATAGAGCTTTCTTTTGGTGGTATTTGATTACTATTGGATTTTTCACTATTTGCAACAATGAAAAAAAGACCGAAAATTTTGAAAAATAAACAATATTTTCTACTTTCTGATATAAAGCATATACAATAAAAAATTAAATAAATAAACAAAGTTCTTTATAAATTTATGCCAAAATGTATTCTGCTACATGATTTTGGTAAGAAAATCCCAATAAGTGTATATTGATCTGTTTGCATGAAAGTTATAGCGTCTACAAACTATGGTACAGATTGGTGTTTACCTTATTCAGTCAAGGCACCCTTTAAAATTCTGCATAATCTCAAGGCACCCCATTCTAAAATGTAAATAACTATTCTAATGTTTTTACATAATGCAGCAATATCCACACTCATAGTACACCCAATGTTAGAGGTTATTTATTCTTCCAAAGCAAATATACCTTTACGCACTGGTACTGTCTTGTATTTCAGTGTTTCTCCCTCAGCTTCTCTCGGTCACTCAGCTAATGCGACCCCAGTGCCAACGGAGAGGGGCAGAGGAAGGGCAAACAAGGATGCTGTGCAGGCACTCAGCATCCTCCTTATTAAAAGAGAGGCTTGATACACCCACTGGCTGGCTTTTTGGGCAATGTATAGGCATTTCGCCAAGGCATCGTTAGAGAAGCCTGAAGGCTCCCTGGTTGAAAAAGACTGGTATAGATACTGGAATTTTTATTCCTTTTTTATTTTTATACTGTAATGGCGGAGATCAGCAGCTTACAGCAGGACTGTGATAGTACACAGGGGAATCTGACACTAACTGACACTTTGTGGAAACTGACTAACTGCCACCGACATCTCCAGTGACAATAATACAGTGATCAGTGCTAATAATATACACTGACACTGTAATAATGACACTGGCTGGAAAAGGGTTAACATCTAGGAGCAATCAAAGGGTTAACTGTGTGCCTAACAGTGCTTGGTGCATTCACTGTGTGCTGTTTTTGCGAAGGGATGTGCTGGTTTTTATTCCTTGCTTTTGCAATCTGGCACATCGCCACTTTTTAACATTCACAGAGCTCTGTCCTGTCTTCCTCTTTGCCGATCAGCAGGTCCCAGCTGGCAATCACACCCGGATCAGATCAGGTGATCTGGCGCAGGAGAGCTGCTCTGCCGCCAGACTCATACGTAAAGCGGTCAGCAAGTGGTTAGAATCCTTTCCTCCTGGCAGCAGCATTTTGGCAGAAAAAACACTGCACGCTTGTAAAAGTGTGTTACGCTTTTAGGTGTGTTTACAGGCATCAACCGCTTGGGCATCACTTCATTTCATTAGCCAGATTAATAAATTATTCTGGCAACTGAAATGAATTAAATCTCAAGCGCTAAATGCACCTAGGATTAACACATGATTAGATATGTTTAGGTGCATTTACATGCGTTTACAAGCGTCAAGCGTTATTTCAGCCAAAAATGGCAAAAGTGTTTTTTTCTGCCTCTAAAAGCCCCTGCTACTAAACGCTGCTAAAAGTCTATGTGTGTATGGACACGTGGGGGGGGGGGATTTGCTAAAACTGGAGAGTTCTAAATCTTATGCAGCTCTTCAAAGAAACCAAAACCTTGGCTACCATGCAGAGTGGCACCAGAGGATAACTCCCCCGCTGGAAAGAACACAATGGCTCCATGGGATGGAGCGATTTTCTTTCCCGCAACCTGTGGTTGCAGAAAATAAAATCATATCATCTATGGCCTTCCTTAGATCCTCTGTTTTTATTGCACAGTGGTTAGCACTTCCATCTGGTAATACTAGGGTCATTGGTTCAATTCCCAACCACGGCAGCACCTGCCTGGAGTTTACATGTTCTCCCTGTGCTTGCGTGGGTTTTCTCCAGGTACTCTGGTTTCCTCCAAGACTCCAAAGACATGTTGGTAGGTTAAACAAATAAATAAATAACCTCCTTCACTATGATCCCACCAAAAAGTCGCACTTTCTCCCTAGAAAGTTTACTAATAATAAAACCTTTTTGTGATATACCATAAAATCATAATAATATATCAAATATACAATAAATCAAATTAAACCATAAAGTGTCCAATTCCTATAAAGTCTCCAATGTGTCCAAAAAGTTCAAAGTTCCAAACTTTCATCCAATAAGAAGGATTGGCTCCTATTTAATCCGGCGAAAACCTCAAAAATAAAAATATATATACTCTAGTGTATTACCTTTTATACAAATAAATTTGTGCAAACCACAACCCTTCCAAAATGTGCCAAAACAAAAAAAAATTTCTTAATACATGCACATATAACACAAACTGTGAACACTCTGTGATCACTGCAACACTGTGTACACTCCGTGGGCCAACACCCAATAGTGCTAAATACTATTACCCTCTGTGAGTATTCATACGCTAATCAATACTATGGAACCAAAGTCTTCCATTCTCTCTTCAAGGATAATTCTTCCAAGGTCCTCACAAAGACAAGAAGAGTCTTAAGACGGATCTCAAAGCGTAGGAAAAATTTAATAGTAACTTACATTAAAAAACAGAACTTCCAGCTCTGACCATGGCTCTTGTGCAGGCTTAACAAACAGTGGAAAAAACCATGCGTAGATAACCAACAAAATGGCCGTGGCGACACTTCCGGTTTGCGCACGTGCGTCTTGACGTCACTTCCTCTAACGCGTTTCGGCACTTCCGGATTTCATCTTCTTGTATTTTAATGTAAGTTACTATTAAATTTTTCCTACGCTTTGAGATCCGTCTTAAGACTCTTCTTGTCTTTGTGAGGACCTTGGAATGATTATCCTTGAAGAGAGAATGGAAGACTTTGGTTCCATAGTATTGATTAGCGTATGAATACTCACAGAGGGTAATAGTATTTAGCACTATTGGGTGTTGGCCCACGGAGTGTACACAGTGTTTCAGTGATCACAGAGTGTTCACAGTTTGTGTTATATGTGCATATATTAAGAATTTTTTTTTTTTTTTTTGGCACATTTTGGAGTGGGTTGTGGTTTGCACAAATTTATTTGTATAAAAGGTAATACACTAGAGTATATATATTTTTATTTTTGAGGTTTTCGCTGGATTAAAAAGGAGCCAATCCTTCTTATTGGATGAAAGTTTGGAACTTTGGACTTTTTGGACACATTGGAGACTTTATAGGAATTGGACACTTTATGGTTTAATTTGATTTATTGTATATTTGATATATTATTATGATTTTAGGGTATATCACAAAAAGGTTTTATTATATGTTGTTAGGTTAATTAGATTATGTTTAAACTGTTCCTAGCATGTGTATGTATGAATGTAAGGTAGGGACTGTAGATTGTACGCCCCTTGAGGGTTAGGGACTGATGTGAATGTACAATACATAAGTAAAGCACTGCATAAATTGATGGCGCTATTTAAGTACCTTAAATAAATCAATAAAATCATAATAAAAATAAATTAATATTGCTGTCTGTGTCCTTACTGGTGTGATTCATCCTCTCTATTTGTCCTTTTGACCATTGTCACGTGGAGACAAATGAGGGTAAATCCTAAAGCTGACCATAGACAGTTTGAATCTCGGATGGTTCAGCAGGGACTGGCTGAGATTTGAACCATGTATAGGCAGGCTGAATGTACCCAAGTTGATCAACTTGGGTACAACCAACCTGTCGGATTTTACATAAGATTATTGCTAGCGGCTATAGCAGCTAGCAATAATCACTGTGTTCTCCCAGTGGGGACGGCTTGAGAACACAATGGCTCCGCGAATGAGATTCTGACTGTGTTGATGGGGGATTTGAGCGATTTTCTTACCTGCAACAAATTGGAAAGTATGCACTACCATCAGGGCAGTAGTACAAAAGTTGATTAACAAATCCTCCGTATACTCAGAAGAGTGAAGTTCTCATACAGTATAAATGGTGATCTTCAAAATTAAACATAGCTAAACTCTATAGAACAATGAGCACAATGTTATACTCTAAGAAATGAAATCATCTATCATACCTCATGCACATGCTTCTCCATATAGTTGAACACATATTCATCTGCATCAACCAAGATAAACTTGTGCCCATTAAAGTTAAGCCTGGCTCCAACAAACAGATCTGCAGCATTGAAGTATTCAGACATCTCACTCTTGAATAATTCTTGTCCTGGTTTCTTAACACGACATCTTTCCAAAAATTTGCCACCAAGAATTCCTGAATGAATCAAAATATATTATGATACAACTGACAAAAAATAACAGAGCAAGTACAGTAGTTTTTATCTCCGTTACAGGTATTTCTTAAGGTAGGCCTTAGACGAGTCGAAAAACAAGTTTTGTCGATCAAAAAAACGAAAATAGCTCATATGATTGTGCCATCAATCGTTTAGATTTTCTAAAACAAAATGCAGCTTGTTGGATTATGCACTTTTGATTGCGGCACAAAAATCACGTCACAGCTGGCACATGATGCAAAAAATGAACCATTTGAAGAGCGATATGAATTTCGTTCGTTTTTCGACTTGTTTATCGCCTGCTTAAGTTTTGTGTAAATTGTAAATAGGCAAGCCTTATATTTTCCAGATATATGAACCGACCAATTA